GGGCGCCCGTCCACCAGGACCCCGGCCCCGGGCGCCACTCCTTCTCGCGTTCACAGACGCGACGCGGAGGTCCCGAGAGGAGGGCGCCCTGGCTAGGGCTGCGCGCGCGGGGAGGCGGAGACTCGAGCGCGGGGCTCAGGACCCCGAGACCCAGGCTCCTCAGTCCCGGAGGCAACAAGAGGCGGCAGCTATTTATAGAGGGAGCCACGCTCAGTCCCTCTTGGCGGCGGCGGCGACAGCTGAATATTTTGCCCAGATATGGCTGAGGCCCCGGCGCGGGGGCAGGGAGCCCCGCGAGCGCAAGGGGGACCCCAGGCAGGGTGGGGGCTTACCCGGCGGCAGAGCGGCGGGGCCGGCGCGGGCGGCTGGACCGTCGCAGGCGGCGGGCAGATAGACGCGGGCGGCAGCCGCGGTGCTCCGGCGGGCGGCGAGCGGCGGGCGGGCAAGCGCAGCACGGGGCTGGACGAGCTCCCGGTCGGCGGGCGGGCGGACGCTGTGGGCTCCGGGGGTGGGAGCCAGGGGCGGGCCCGGCTCACGCTGTCACCGCGCCCCGCCCCGCCCCGCCCGCCCTGGGCTCCCTCTCTCCCTCCCCCTCCACCCGGGGGCGCCGGGCGCAGCGCACCTCCCCGTGGGGACGCGGCCCCGGGCCGGTAGCGCTGGGAAGGCGGGCTGCTGCAGAGCGAGCGCTGTCGGCCCCAGCTTGGGTCTCCGCTTCCCGGTTGGTACTAGGAAGAGTTTGAGCGACAGTAGAGTTACGTGGCAAAAGGTGGGCAGATTTGCATTCCTGTGGGGTCTAGAATTTAAGATTTTGAGAATCCGAAGTTCGTAAAAGTGATGGAGGAAACAAAGCCAGCTAAGAGGCCGCTGTAACTTCCCCTCTGATTGAAGGGCCGCTCCGTCTATCTCTCAGCAGCGCGGCCAGGTGGGCTCTGAGTCGCAGCTTTAACCGCGATCGTTTTGTCCACACGTGGTTTCAATACGCAATCGATTGCATTCTCTCTACACTGAGAGCGAGTGGAGAGTATAAAACACTGATTTTAAATGGCCACAACAAAAAGACCCACGTTCTTAAAGGGCTTCCCCGCCCCCCGAACAAACCACTTTAAGTGATTTAACCCAAACCCAATTTAAGTGTTTTAATAAACAAATAAATGGCTCATGCAAAGGAATTTATATAGAAATAGGAAAACGTCTTATTTTGGATTATTATGGGAAAGGTTTTGGTCGGATAGACCTTAATAAAATCAGCTCTTAATCCTAATGTATAGGTTATTAATGAGAAACACTCATTACCCAAATTGTTTCTCAAGAAAATGTATTCCTCTAAAGTCCTCACAATTATAAGAGAACCCTCTTTTGAAGGGGTATATGCCATACATTTTAAAATAAGCAATGATTTAATATTTCAGATTATTTTAAAACATTTTTGTTGTGAATCAAACATATAAGAACATACAACGTAAGTTATGTTGTATGTGTAAACAAAATTAATGTGCAGGTTCATGACTTTATTTATAGTGTGAACACCTGTGCAAACATCACTCAGAGAACCTTGCCAACAGCCCAGAAACCTACCTGTCCCTCCTGGGTCCCAACTCCCCACTAAAGATGATCACTTTCTTGACCCTTATGGTGATCTCCTTGTTTTCTTCCCTCTGTAGTTTGTCTTCATTTGTTCAAATCTGTGGTTTCATGCAGCTATAATTTTTCATTGTATGAATTCACAGTTTTTTTTAAAAATCCATTTGACTATTAATGAGCATTTAGGTTGTTTCCAGGTTTTTGCTATTACAAAGAGTGCTGCTGCTGTGAAAATTCCTTGCCCAGAATCCTCCTGTCCACGTGCACACCTGCCGTTGGAAGTGCTGGGTGATAGAGAAAGCATAATCTCAACTTCAGCAGCAATAAGGCTGAACTCTTCCAAAATCATAGTACCATTGTATGGTGTAGTTTCACATCTTCAGCAACACTTGGAATTAACAAATATGGAAACACTTTAGACATTCTGGTATCTCACTGCGGTTGGAACTTGCATTTCCCTATATCCTGATGGGTTGAATATCACTTCAGATTTATGGGCCAGTTGGATTTGTTTTGTGAATTGTTTGAATTTATTGTCCATTTTCTTCTGGATAGTCTCATGTATTGAATAGATTATATGGTGTGTGTGTGTATCCTCGGTTATATTCTTCCACTCTTGCCTTTTCACCTTATTAACTTATTTTGGTAAGCAGGTGTTCTTAGTTTTAATGCAGTCTATCAATCTTTCCCTTTATTTGCAGTAATCTGTGTCCTGTTTAAGAACTCTTTCCTGTTCCTGGGCTATAAAGTTATCTTCCTATGTTATCTTTGCACCTTAGCCTTTCATGTTTAGGTTCTTGTTTGCTGGAGTAAAGTGGTGTGATCACAGCTCATTGCAGCCTCAACCTCCTGGGCTCAAACCATCCCCTTAACCCCTGCCTCAACCTCTCAAAGTGCTGGCATTACAGGCATGAGCCACCATGCCCAGCTATTTAAAAGCATTTTTTGTAGCGATAGGGTACCCAGGCTGGTCTCAAACTCCTGTGCTCAAGCAATCCTCCTGCCTCAGCCTCCCAAAGTGCTGGTATTACAGGCATGAGCCACTGGGTCCAGCCTCATCTTTACTTTCCCTCTCTCCCTCTCCTTTTTTTTTTTTTTTTTTTTTTCCTGAGACAGTGTCTGACTCTATCATTTAGGCTGGAGTGTAGTGGGCAACCTTGGCTCACTGTAACCTCTGCCTCCCAGGCTCAGGTGATCCTCCCACCTCAGCTTCCTGAATACCTAGGACTACAGGTGTGCACCACCACATCTAGCTAATCTTTTTTTGGTACAGACAGGGTTTTGCCATGTTGCCCAGGCTGGTCTCAAACTCTTGGCCTCAAGTGATTCCACCCCTGCCCCACCCCGCCTCAAAGTCCTGAGGTTACAGGCATAAGCCACCATGCCTGGCCAATGTTTAGGTTTTCTTTTTTTTTTTTTAATTTTTTATTGCATTTTAGGTTTTCGGGTACATGAGCAGAGCATGCAAGACAGTTGCATAGGTACACACATGGCAGTGTGTTTTGCTTCCTTTCTCCCCTTCACCCACATTTGGCATTTCTCCCCAGGTTATCCCTCCCCACCTCACCCTCCCACTGGCCCTCCCCTTTTCCCCCCAATAGACCCCAGTGTTTAGTACTCCCCTCCCTGTGTCCTTGTGTTCTCATTTTTCATCACCCGCCTATGAGTGAGAACATGTGGTGTTTCATTTTCTGTTCTTGTGTCAGTTTGCTGAGGATGATGTTCTCCAGATTCATCCATGTCCCTACAAATGACACAAACTCATCATTTCTGATTGCTGCATAATATTCCATGGTGTATATGTGCCACATTTTTCCAATCCAGTCTATTATCAATGGGCATTTGGGCTGATTCCAGGTCTTTGCTATTGTAAACAGTGCTGCAATGAACATGCGTGTACATGTGTCCTTATAGTAGAACAATTTATAGTCTTTTGGATATATACCCAGTAATGGGATTGCTGGGTCAAATGGAATTTCTATTTCTAAGGCCTTGAGGAATCGCCACACTGTCTTCCACAATGGTTGAACTAATTTACACTCCCACCAACAATGTAAAAGTGTTCCTTTTTCTCCACATCCTCTCCAGCATCTGTTGTCTCCAGATTTTTTAATGATCGCCATTCTAACTGGCGTGAGATGGTATCTCAATGTGGTTTTGATTTGCATCTCTCTGATGACCAGTGACGATGAGCATTTTTTCATATGATTGTTGGCCTCATATATGTCTTCTTTCGTAAAGTGTCTGTTCATATCCTTTGCCCACTTTTGAATGGGCTTGTTTTTTTCCTGTAAATCTGTTTGAGTTCTTTGTAAATTCTGGATATCAGCCCTTTGTCAGATGGGTAAACTGCTTCTATCCACCTGGAAGTGACTTTTGAATATGGCATGAGGTAGGATTCACATTTCATTTGTTTGTGTCACACTGTCTTAGCACTAATTTTGTGGTTACATCAACAATTTATTGCTTTATTTTAAAAAGTAATGGAAACATTTCTAAAGTCAGTGAAATAGAAACTACCTTTTCCTTACTTGTAGACAATTTGAGGATTTTTGCATTTTTTTGTTGTTAGGGAATGAAACCATAATTAAAAACATTTTCATCAGTTTATTTCACTTAAACATTTCTGTGTTGAGATATTTTTATTTCATCACAAATGATTAATCACTGGCATTCAGTATTCCTGAATTTTGTATCACTAGTTGTAAATACTGAGTTTTAAAAAGCTATAGATAATTCTGGCATGTTTAAAATGAAAAACTTAAACATCTGGTCTTTACCTTCCTCTTTCTCTTCTCATTTTTTTCTCAAATAAAAACAAACAAATGACTTTGAGAATTTTTACTTCCAGCTTGGTTTTTGCCCTGAAGTTTATTCCACATTTCCAAGCTTCTGCATATCTTCACGTGGAAGTCTATTAGCTCAAATTCACTATGTTCAAAATCAAATTTTTAAGCTTCCCACTTCATCTGAGTAAGGTCCTAGGCTCTTATACCTTAAAACTTGGCTTCACTCTTCCCTGTCTGTATCTAAGCTTATAATTTTAATGAAAAGCTTTACCAAATCTTCAACACTTTTTCTTCAATACCATTGCTCCACTCTTAGTCCAGGGCCTCCCTACCTCATCTTTGGACCACTCCTAAAACTTATAACCTATCTGTCTGCCAATCTATCTGTCTACCAGTTAGTAAGCCCAAAAGGAGTGCCGAATGTGCGTAAGATGCCATTCTGACCATTGTGGATGCTCAGATGGTGGTGTGCTGGAAAGTTTGTCATACAGGTCTCAAGAGCTGCTTAGGTGAGTCTCTTCCTAACTCCACAGTCATGTTGTATTATTAGCTGGAAATCAAGAATGGTGGGACTATTTACAGATAATTTTCAGACACCACAAATCAAGGCTCAGCTCCACACCCAACAGAAACAGCTGTCAAACATTTACCAGTATATCACCAGAGATGACTAAGACCCATCCCTCTTTCAGGGGTGCCACGATCTAGCTGGGGTGATGGGTGCACAGACTAGTCATATACTATAAAGTACAGGGACATAGGGGCACCAAGAGAGGCATGATCAAATAACGATGGAGTAGAAAGGGGCACCAGAGAAAGCTTCATGGTTGGCCCAGGAGGTCAGGCAGGACACTGACAAACAAAAATGATGGGAGGAGAATGAGATGCAGGTTGAGAGAATGGAATAAGCAGGGGTTCAGTGACCAAATAAAGGTCCAGTGTAGCAGGGAGTGGTAGACAAGGAGGTTGGGTAGGAGGACTGTAGAAGGCCTGGGTCTTAGCTGGACTCTGTGGGCAATGAGAAGAGAAGCCACTCAAGATTTGGGTTAAGGGCCACATTGGTTTGCCTGGACTGCTCCTCCAGAAATGCTGATGTGTTAAGACTCAGGCTAAGTCCTCACATGCTGTGATGTCCACTTGCTTTGAGATACAGTACTACATCAGGGTAGAGTTAAGTCATAACATTCTCAGCTTAACTGCAGAAGAACTCAATGCTGCAAGGAAGACAACATGAAATGGGAGCTTTCATCTTAAGATCATGAAGCCTAGAAATGACAAGGTAGTCAGCTTTTATATTGATAAACATTTTTATTCTAATATTATAGTAATAATTCAAGTACAATTTTCTTTGAAAAGCCAACTCTGTTAAAACAAAAACTTGTTAAATATCTTTCATCAAACATAAGCATATTATTTTCAATCCCCCACAGTGGTCAGAGCCATGTAGCAGAGATAAGACTTATTTTTAAGCCTACTACACTTTGTTATTGCTAAAAAATCTGAATTAGTTGTCAAGGTTTCAGAAGCAGTCATTAATTAACTTTTGAAAGCTCTATCAGATACTCTGACATAAAATCGTGAATCCAGATATCAGTGTCTGGCAACGATGTGTCCACTAAATAGATCACCACTTTCCGGTCCCAAGGGTTAGCATTTTCAATGACTGTCTGCACCAGTGCCACCAGAGGTTTCTTCTCCACATGATTTCGAAACACCATTGAAGCCTCCTCACACCACTGGTTGCACTTTACTCCTAGGAGGAGGACAGGAAGAAGAGGGAGCAGTGAGGAGTCAAAGGAGCTTTTCTTTGTTCCATTATGATGGAACTATTTAGCCAATTCTGAAGTAGCTTAAGCATCCCAGATTAGACTTGCCTCAACTGGAAAAGAGTTACTGAACAATCTTAAAACACTCCAGCTTATAGTTTTTCTACTCTGAATGGAGTCACTTCTATAAACCTTTCCCTGAAAAACAAGTTTCATTTGACTTAATATTGTATTATAAAATGAGGTAATGATCACTATACAATACCCATACATAAAGTATATGCATATTTAAACTAATAACAGTAGTTGAAATAAAATATCCATTTCAATCATATTAAATGACATTTTTCTCATTAAAATTTTTTTCTGATGGACCAAGTATCACAAAAAAAGAAAAAGGAAAATCAATCATATTAAATGACATTTCTCTCATTAAAAATTTTGTTTCTGATGGGCCAACTATCATAAAAAAGAAAAAATAATTATTGTATGATCCATTTACAGTATAATTTTTTTTTTTTAAATTACACACAGCATCATGGAAAAAACACTGAATCGAAAGTCAAGAGCCTCAGTTACTATTCCCAGCTCTTCCTCTATTGGGTGGTGTGGTCTTGGGTGAATCAGCTGATCTCTCAGGCCTCACCTGTTATAAAAGAAACTTGTTGGATCAGATCATGAGAAATCAAGTTAGAGAATTCTAAATTATATTTTAAAACAAAATTGGGACAAGAAAGTATATATCGGCTGGGCACAGTGGCTCACACCTGTAATCCCAGCACTCTGGGAGGCCAAGGCAGGCAGATATCTTAAGCCCAGGAGTTCGAGACCAGCCTGGACAACATAGTGCAGCCCTGTCTCTACAAAAAAATACAAAAATTAGCCGGGTATGATGGCATGTGCCTATAGTCCCAGGTATTCAGGAGGCTAAGGGAGGAGGATCGCTTGAGCCTAGGAGGTCAGGGTTGCAGTCAGCCATGACTGTGTCACTGCACTCCAGTCTGGGTGACAAAGTTTTTCCTGTCTCAAAACAAAGTATATATTTTTCAAGAAATACTATTAAAATTAAGTCCACATATACTGGATTGCATAAACTATAAATTATGCCCCAAAGAAATGAAGGTTTGGAATTTTCAGACATAATTTTGGAAAATTTGCTATCTACTTAGCAAATGGGCTAAATTCTTTGATTATTAATTTCCCACAAGAGAAGTCTAGAAATTTCATTTTATCTGCAATAGCCCTGACAATCTTTGAGCCACGTTATTTAAGGAGAAAAAAGGTAAGCCTTCTAGAAAGCTTCATTGGTAAGGTAAAAAATGATTCCATTGTATGGCTCCCTTTCTTCTAGGATCCAGAAAATTTTATGCATAGCCATGGCACACTGATGCAAAGAATGCCCATGTCAAGCCCAGATGTAATGAAGCAACAGCTCGATGGGAACCTAGAGAGAGAGCATCCAGTGATCCCATCTGTGAGCAGTACGGTCCCTGGAGAATCCTTAAAGCATTCCGATTTAAACACTCAGGGAATCTCCATGGGTTTCTCTTCAATTCCACAGAGTTCCTTTGCATCTAGAGATATTCCTAAATATTTCAAAGGGCTGGGCTAGATGTGAACCAAGTCTACCAAAGTGATGACTCCGATGGCCATGTCATAACCAGTGACTTCCATGAAAGTTCTTGTCTATGTCATTTCTCTCTAGTGGATGCCTATGTTGGCCCAAGAGACACGTACTCTCCACCACATAAAGTTTAATAGTTCCAGTACATATGTCTTCAATAATTACAAAATGGGGTTCCTCCCTTCAAAGTGGATAATGTGATGCCCAGGAAGATTTTGTGACTTAGGAGCAAGTCAGTAGGAAGAAAGAAGGCTTGGCAGAGGTGAGCCTAGAAGAGGAACTGAGGACATGATGGGACCCAACAGCAATGCTGTTTCAGATGTAAGTATACAAGGAAACTTTCATGCATTTGCACTATGTGTTTTAGTTCACGAGGCAATTTCATATTCACTTTTTCATCTGATCCATGTATTAGTTCAGTCACATAAGCAGGCAGGGATTTATTGGTAATTTTATAAATAATTATGGGGTAGGTTTAGAAGTTAAATGACTTGAATCTCAGCCTTTTGACTTAAACAACCACAATTTTCATTGAGAAGGAAGTATACAGTGAAGAAAGGCACACACTGAAGAGGCAGAGTGCTGAATTTAAGGCTGTGGGATCTTGGACCAGATATTTAACTTCACTATGCTGCTGTTCCCTGATGTGTATAATAGTTACAGTAACAGTACCTAAACCTCCTAGCATGGGGAGAATTCAATGAAATAAAGCATCTGGTAGAACTTCTGCCTACCAATCTGCAAGTAAAGAGCTTTAGAAGTTGCTACTGCCTCCTAACAAGAAACAAAAAGCTGAACAAACAGAAAATCAGCAGCTATTCGTAGGTCCATCAGAGAAGGGAGGTCACAGGGCAATTCACTGTCCCCAAAACCAGAGAGACAGACAGGTAGATATGGAGAGTCAAAGTGTACTGCAGCAGAAACCAATGAGCAGTGGCCTGGAAGCCGGAGGAGGGAAACCTAAACTGTAATTGACAAATTGCTGGGGGTGCATGGGAGTCTGAAAGTAAAAACTCCAGGGGAACCCAGTCATAGGGCCTTGCCTCCCATACTTTTGAGAGTTTTACCTCCAGAAGCACTACCTGGTACTCACAGTAAATATTGGGGAAAAATCTCCTCATGGTTCCAGATGGGGGAGGAGAAAAGGAACATGTTGAAATACACCAGAGCTTTCTGTTCTTCTTAACAAGCCCTGTCCTTGGAAGAAACTATTTTACTAGAGCCTGACCTGCTAGGATTTTATAGAGCTTAACATTCCTGGGGGAAAGGAAATACCCAACTCCAGTCCCCTGTAGCCATCCTGCTCCACCTTAGATGAGGGGAAAACCCCTAAGGAGCACTAGTGAAGCTCCCAGTCCAGGGACACAGGCTCAGCAAAAGACTGAGACTGATCCCTCCACAATTCCCAGCAAAAAAAAAAAAAAAAAAAAAAAAAAGACTGAGATCTAATCCATAGGACTACAGAACACCCCCCACACCCTTGACACACTGCTGCTGCTACATTACAAAAGCCTTATTTACCCAGAGTTTCTTCTACCCAGTGCATCATGCCCACCTTTCAACAAAGAACTACAAAGGATAAGGAATGGAAAAAACAGTTTGAAGAGACTGAGCAAGCATCAGAATCAGGGTCAGAATCGGCAGGAATACTGGAAATATCAGACCAGAAATTTAAAACAACTATGATTAATATGGTACCAGTGTTAATGGAAAACCAGACAAAATGTAAGAGCAGATGGATAATGGAAGCAGAAAGACAGAAATTCTAAGAAACAATAAAAAAGAAATGCTAGAGGTCAGAAACACTATAAAAGAAAATGAGAATGTCTTGGGCTTATTAGTTGACTGGAAATGGCAGAGGGAAGATCTCTGAACTCAAGGATATGACAACACAAACTTTCAAAACTGAAAAGCAAAGAGAAAAAGACTGAAAAAAAGAACAGAACAAAGTATCCAAGATCTGTGGGACAACTATAAAAGGTGTAACAAATGTATAGTGAGAATTCCAGTAGGAGAGAAAGGAACAGGAATATTTGAAACAATAATGACTGAGAATTTCTCCAAATTAATGTCACACACCCAACCACAGATCCAGGAAGCTCAGAGAACACCAAACAAGATAAACGGCCCCCCAAAATAAATCTAGGCATATCATAGTCAAACTTTAGAAAATCAAATATAAACAAAAATCTTAAAAGAGGCCAGAGGAAAAAAGTCACCTTATCCATAGAACAAAGATAAGAATCTTTGTTCTGACTTCTCAGAAATCATGCAGCAAGAAGAGAGTGTTGCCAAAAACCTCCACCAGCTAGAGTTCTGTACCTTATGAAGTTATCCTTCAAAAGTGAACGAGAAATACAGGCTCTCAGACAAACAAAAATTGGGGGAATATACTGCCAGCAGACCTACCTTGGAAGAAATATTAAACAAGTTCTTCAGAGAATGAAAATAATATAGGTTAGAAATTTAGATCAACATAAAGAAAATCAGAGAATGAATAAGTGAAGGTAAAATAAAACCTTTATATTTCTTTTTCTTAATCTATTAGGGTTTGTTAAAAATAATAGCAACAATGTATTTCTGTATGCTTGTGTGTGTGTGTGTGCGTGCGTGTGCACGCATGTGCACTTATATATGAGTGAAGTAAATGATTGCAATGAACAGGATCCTGGAGGAAGGAATTAAGATTATTTTGTTATTATACTGTACTTGCACTGTCTGTGAAACAGTGTAATGTCACATGAAAGTGGACTTGGATTAGTTCTAACTGTATGTAGCAAACTCTAGGGCACCCACTAAGAAAAGGAAAAAGTAGAGGTGTAATTGATATCCTAAGAAAAGAGAGAAAGTGGCATTGTTTAAAATGTTCAATTAAAATCACAAAAAGCAAAAAAAGTATGGAAGACAAAAATCAGAGCAAAGAACAGGGAAAACAAATAGAAAACAGTAACAAATATGGCAGATATTAATCCTACTATATTAATAATCACTTTAAATGTTGACAGTCTAAACATACCAATTAAAAGGCAGAGATTGTCAGAGTAAATAAAAAAATAAGACCCAACTCTATATTATCTACAAGACCACTTTAAATATAAAGACACATGGAAAGTAAAAGTAAAGGGACAGAGAAAGATATACCATGCTAACACTAATTGAAAGAGAGCAGGAGTTAGGTATATTCATTTCAGACAGAGCCAACTTCAGTGCAAGGAAAGTTCATCATGGATAGAGAGGGGCATTACATAATGGTAGAGGGGTCAATTCTTCTAGAAGACATACCAATCCTAATGTACATGCACCTAACAAAAGAACATCAAAGACCATCAAAATACATGAGGCAAAACATAAATCTGCAAGGAGAAATGAAAGAATCCACTCTCATAGGTAGAGATTTTAAAACCCCTTTATCAGAAATGGATAAATCCAGAAGGCATAAAAATAAGGACATAGTTGAACTCAATAGCACCATAAATCAACTGGATGTAATTGACATCTACAGACTACTTCCCAAAAACAGCAGATTATACACTCTTCTCGAGCTCACATGGAACATTCACCAAGACAGGCCACATTTTGGGAATAAAACACACATTAACAACTTAAAAATAATACAATGTTTTCTCTCAGACTACAATGGAATTAAATCAGAAACCAGTAACAGAAAGATAGCTGGAAAATCCCCAAATACATAGAGATTAAGCATAATCCTAAATAACACATGGGTCAAAGGATACTTTTCAAGAGAAAAAGTATTTTGAGCTAAATGAAAATATAGCACATCAAAGTTTGTGGGATGCAGCAGAAGCTGTACTTAGACAGAAATTTGTAGCACTGAATGCATATATTAAACAGGAAGATAGATCTAAAGTGACTGGTGGAGCGCCTAGCATACCACAAGTACAAATAACTCTTAGCCACAATGCTGGTGATGGGGATGATGGTACCATGCACTCATTCTTCACAGAGAAGCCTTCTCTGGGGACTATAACTGTCACATTTAACAAAACGTGTTGTTAGCAAAACCTGAACATTAGAAAGTGAAAATGAAAAAAAAACAACAAACCAAAACATTAAATGTGAAGAAGGGTTGAGTCTAAAGCAGACTAACTGGTGGCCATGCTACATAAAAGTGTTAATTTTGCTTTATATCCAATTACCATGGGAATTTCCTTTGAATTCTAGTAGGAAGACACAGAGAAGCTGGCAAATATTTCAAAATAAGACAATATATAGCTTTCCAATAAAAGCTGGTCAATTTCTGTCACTGTGTTCCACACATGGGGCAAGGTGCTAAGGACTGTGGGCAGCGGCAAAGGGATCAGGGAATCACGCTTCAGCTCTTTTGTCCTCAAAACCCTCTGCTAATGCTACATAATGGTAGGGGTTCACAGGGGAGCCACCAACAGTTGTACTGCTTTCACAAAAGATAAAAGGGAAGTCTCATTAGACAACATTACAAAGAGGTATCATTAAATTGGCTTCTTACATTTTAATGATAAGAGGCTGATGTAAATGTGGTGAAATTGCTCACTTGTATGCTGTTAGTTGTGTTGCAAACTGGAAACTCACTTGGTCATGAAGATGGTCATATATTCCATGACCCAGGAATGTTTTAAGATTGTGTAATACTCTATTATGTAGATGTATTATAATTTATGCAATAATAATAATAATAAAGTATGATCTTCCTATTGGTTATTATAATAGGTTGTTTCCATTTTTTTGTTTGTTTTAGCTAGTATAAAGATACAGGGTTTTTCTTGATATTACAATAAAAATGTTCAACAATAGGGAAGTACTGATTAAACAGAATATTTTGCATCCATTAAAAAATAGGTAGGAAAACCATAAAACCACCCAGAAAAGCATTAGAAAACAATACTAGATGAAGAAAAGCAGAATGCAGTATTATGCCTGTACTAAGATTACAGTTTTAGAAATATGCTTGAAACCAGAGACAGAAGGAGTAAGGAAAAAAGAAACAGCAGATGTGGTGGAGCATGACTTTAACAGATCATTAAAATTATTTCCATTGCAGTTGCAATATTTTTAGTGCAAAAAAGCAAAAATCTAACATACCCAAACTCAAGAGGCCAATGATTCAGTACTTCCTAAGTACCCAGGACAAAATGACAATATTGCATTGTTGCAGCATGAGTTCAGATTCCACAGAAATTACCTGCAAGTTGAGCTGTGACTGCTTGGAAGGGCAGCTTCCGGAACATGTCCACTAGGGGCTGTACTTTTCTTATGTTGACTAATTCGTGTTTACCATAATCCAGCTCATACACAGATACCAGTCCATTGGTCAGGATTCCTTTTAAAAGCACCCTGTGCCACCTAGATGTACATTAGATTAAAAAGGAAGAGAAAACATATCAATATCTCCTTTAAGGGCAAGAAATATTTTATGATAAAAAGAAAAATTAATGTAAATCATGGTTATGAAAAAACTATATTGTCATAAAAGGTTTTAAACACATTTCCTGCTTCTTTTTCCAAAGGTTATTCTTCTCTGCTTTGCCACTGTCTTATTTAATAGAATTTGCTCATTCAAGAGACTTTTATGGGCCTCATGGAGTTAGTGAAGGAAACAGACACATAAACTGCCAACCATCATTAAGTAGAATGAAACAAACACCATGGAAGATGATCAGGACAAAGCCAGGGGATCCCTTCACTGAAGGAGGGTTGACAGAAGATGGTCACATGTCTGGATATGGTACATGTTTGAAAGATGGAAAGAGAGAGGCAAGCAGGACCAGCTGGGGCTGAAGAAATGCTTGAGAAGAAAGGCACAGAGGACTGGAGAGGGCATGGTGTTTTGGAGCAGAGCAAACCTTCCAGTATAGAATGCACGGAAAAATGGAAGAGAAGTCAGACTAGGAAGGCAGGCTGGGAGCAGATCAAATAAGTTTTGGACAAAAAAGTTTGCAATTTTAATTAAGACAAAGACATTAAAAAAAGAACAAAACACAAGATTCAACCCAACACCTAAAATAAAGAACCTGGAAAACGTAGAAGAATATGAGGGAAGTGGAGTATGGCTTCAGATCTGGAGCTCAAGGCACCAGAAGCAAATCCACATGAATCTACTTATCCCCACTGAACCTACATCAACATCATTAAAATGAGAAAAGCCTGGACTTCACGGTTAATATATGAAAGATCATTTTAAAGTTCTATAGTCTCAAATACATGATTAAAAAGTATTACTACATGAAGGAAAGGAAGATTGTTCATAACAGCTAAAAGAAAGTGTCTATGGAGGTGGTCTCTGCTGCTGAATGGTGTAAATTGGACTGTAGTTCAGGTGGCATGGTCAGTCATTCTCTGGAACAGGTTTACCAGCCAGAAGCCAGAAGCCCACCAGAACAGCAGGCCCTGTACTGCAACACACTGCTGGACTGGCGCTGGCGGGAATGGACCGATAAACACCTAGTATAGGAAACCTATGCAGCTGCTATAGGATGAACTACAGAGAAACCCCAAAACAAAAAGATCAGCTTTCAACACTGTGACTGGGGGCTTCTGAGGGAACTCCAGGAACCTTCAGACAGGCTCAAAGTGCAGCAAGCAATACTCCATGAGTCCCACAGACAACTGGGACACAGAAAGGATACATAGTATGTACATAAGCGCTGGGGGCCAAATAGAGCTGAACTGGAATCCCATCTGGGCCATTTTCCAGTTGTGTCACCTGTTTAATATTTAATGTAAATTCACTTACAGAAATAATATATGGACATTGCCTAGGACATTACTTGGCTAATAATAGGCACTCGGCAAAGGATAGTTATCATCACTATTATTGAAATGAAGACAAGCTACTATAATAAGAACTTCAGACCAAACTGAAGAGAAATTTTCACATGTGGAAATATTTTCAGTATAGGTTGCTAATCTGTGTAAGTACAAAAGGAGATACACTTGGTTTCCACCAATAGCATCATCTTAAAATTGTACAGGGCAAATTGGTGGTGGTCTGTGTTTTTAGTCTATAAATAGGTGGTACAGACTAGTGAAGAGACAGTCGAAAACTGATGTGTTGTATTTCTATTTAGTTTTCAACTTTCAAAACTAGTACCTTAAGTAAAAGCTTCAGTTTTGACTAGATAACTAAATTTCAGTATTGACATCACCTATAAGTCGTTAAAAACTGAGATTCTGGAGCTCTACCTGCAGAGAGTGTGATTCAGAATGCCTGGGGTAAGGAAGAAGAATGTGCATTTTTAATACATTTTCCAAGTTATTCCTATGCCGAGATAGATTTGGAAACCACTGTAATAAAAATGTTTCTAAAATTCCTAAGTCTTAATTTACCATAGTTGGGAAGAAGGTTTAGTATATAGCCCAGAGTCTTAAGAAAGACAGAAGCTCTAAACATTTTATATTGATTCAGTTCATGAAATTAAAAAACATCATTTTATCTGTTTTTATATACAAAACATCCCTTGATTATCCAGGACAAATTAACTGAAATCCAGGAGTCCCAAGGCAGAAGCCTTCAAAGCCATGGAGGGCAGAATGGGGAGCGTGAGGGCTAATACTGTAGGTCTCCAGTTTATGTGTTTTCCTTCCTACCCAGCCCCTTTGCTCCAAGGAAGATCTCCTCATCTTTAATCATCATTAATCTGCCCCCCAGAAAATGATGACATTAGTTTGGTTTTTAATTGTGATTTAATTATCTTACAAAGAGTTCTGATTGAGGCAACCTATGCAAACTGAATTAGACTCATTTATGCTGGCAGTCATAAATAACATGACAGTAAAAATGTTTTTTTAAAGATGAAAAGCTTATGACATACAAGCTGTATGTTTTTTTCAAAATGAGAGCTATTATACTCTTCACTTTTGAGAGTTAAAAATTAGGCTTTTTCTCCCATGAAAATGACAAAATTTTATATATGCCTATGTTTGCTGTCTTAAGAAAGAAAACATTTCATATAAAAAATAAGCAGTCTGACCTTTTAAACTGAGTTTTGGGGTGTGTGTGTTGTGGGGGGTGACTGTTCTTTGAGTTCAGCATCAACAAATAAGCTTGTTCATTTCTCCTAAGCAAGCTGGCAAAGGAACAGGACAGGGCATTGTGTCATTTCCCAAGGCTTCATGGCCTGAGTGGAGAGTGGGGTGTCTGGGCTTCACTTGGATGAAGCCAGCATATCCTGTAGGGCTTTGGGAAGGGGGCTGTGGATTCAAGAGTGAAAATATTAGAAAAAAGACTGATGTGCTAAAGAACTGTAAGAAAGTATGTTCTCACAACCCCCAGGCCAAAGTGTAGTGAAATAAGCATTGTTGCTCATGATGAAAGATGGCAAAGATGCCAGGATGCAGCTGACAACATAAAGCAAGAGTGTTGTCATCTTCCAACAAGTGATTTTCCTTCTAGGAATCTATCCCACAAATAAATAATCAGAAATGCAAAGATTTATGTTCACTCTTATAATAGTGAAAAATACAGGAGAAAAAACCTTACATAACAAAATAAAATGGTACGTAAATTATGATTTCATTGGGAGAAAGAAATTCTGTATGTCATAATTAAAATAACCATTATAAGGATTCCTGAAGAAATTTTATCACATGGAAAAATGTTCACGGCATAATGTTAGATGAAAAAGCAAGTACAAAGTATACAGACTATATAAATATGCACATATAAAAGTAGAGGAAATACATAAGTACTTTAACAAGTACTATGTGTGGGTGGTTGATTTTAATTTCTTATGCTTTTTTGTATTTTTAAAATTTTCCACAATAAACATTTTATTTTTAAAATAAAAAGTCATTAAATGAAAAAAAACCTGATTATTTTCTAAATAAAAATATTTTCCTAATATAAAAATAGAAAAAAAATATATAAATTTTCATTTTAGTTATATAACTGGGTTTTAACAGGAATATGGCCAATATATTTTTGATAAATGGCATCGTTTTAAATATTAGAAAACTGCAAAAATTACTGGGTTTGTTTCATATTTAAAATTCCCATTAGTACAGTTCAAAGTCCCCCTGACGAGATTAAGACTGGCCTCATTTTACACATTTTTCTTAGGAGTAGAATAAAATGCTTTGTTCAAGCACCTACTTATTTTCCACTTTTGCAGCATACACTTGGTCTTTTTCCACTGCTATGTGGCGCTCTTCAGACACGCTGTAATAGAGAATCATCTCTTCCATCAGAACTTCCAATTTATGTATCTCCTGCCAAGGCTGGATGACGAAGTAGCCTGGGTGACAGGCCACAGGTATGTACACATCCATGTGTTCCCCTGGTTTTGACAAGAGGACAGGAGGTGGTAGTTCCTCCGTGGAGAAAGAGCCGGTGTGGTCTACCATAGACTTTTTGATGACATCTGTGAGGTTCTTTCTGATATTCTCTCCAGTGTTGCCTGACACAGGCATGTTGCCATTTTTGCTGTCGGGAGAGCCAGCTCCACTGGATATGGCACTCAAAAACACATCCTTCTGATGCTTCCACAAGTCTGCATTTGTAATCTGGAGATTAATACTGCGATGAGGATCAGGGAAGTTCTCAGGGGTAAATAAATAAACATGTGCAATCCCTCTGGTTTCATCCACTTTTGTAACCTTTGGAAAATACAAAAACAATATAAGAAATACAGGTTCACATTAAATTTTTAGAGGCAGTTATAGTAACCTTAATCATTAAAATACAGTATTTTGCCAAAAAAACTTGCTAAAATCCATTTTATTTAAGGAAAGATAAATTATCACAGCTTGGCAATGAATGGGCTCTAAGTCAAAATAGAGAGAAATGTACTGAGAAAACTATAACTTGCTATAGGTCATTATCATTGAGAGAAAGGGATTCTATATATCATGATTAAAATAGTTCAATGACATTTCAAAACACTTAAAGTAGAAATTGTAAGTATGATGAAACCTCCATGTACTCATCACCCGGCAACAATAAAAAACAATCACAATGATGGCAAAATGATTTATGAGCATTCTGCTTAAGGCTGGTGTATCCTCAAGACTGGGAAGGGAAGAAAAAAGCTCTGACATCCACCATATCTGAAAACAACTCTCTTTCAAATTCTTTTTCTGATCCTAGTTTATATCCTCTCCCCTTTCCCCATTTCCAATTACATGGGAGGAGAGGGACCTGGGGAAAATAAGAGGAAGCGAGCTTCACCGAATGGGTCAAAATTAGTTTTACACTTTTTGCCCAGGAGACCTTCTGACTACCTAACCACCTTAATTCTTTCTGCCTGAGGGGTGTTTGTATGAAAATACCATACATTAATAATTGGGACTGTATTGCTGTGTGTCCCAAGGGGCTAGGTGACTATGGGCTATTCTCATCGGCAACTCTGGTTTATCTTAGGAATGATAAAAATCAGATATGTCTATGTTTTACCAAATAGGGACAGAAATGAAAGGCAGGAACATAGGCCTGGAGAGAGGGAGATAACAGCAAGGCAATCCATCTACAGTAATTTACTTAAATGTTTTTTCCAACAAGATGACTCTATTAAATTCTTCCTCTGAAGTACTAATCAAATACTGACTGCAAATTCATTTTGATATTTATGATATAGAAGTACAGTTTTAAAAATAAGCAAAAAGTATTTGTATTGAGTAATCATCCAATATCCTGGCTTTAGGAGCTTAAAGAGTAGCTGAAAAAAACAGTATTATGTGACAACTGAAGAATATGACATAGCACATAATTAAACATGTAACTGTACATAATAAACCCCAGAGGAATATAAAGACAGAAAAATTGGTGCTAGCTAGAATAATTTGGAGGTCTTCATGAAGATAATTTTCAAGGACATTTCATTTTAAATGTTTATATAAAACAATAATGCAATTTTCATCAGTTAACAGAGAAAAAATTATCTTCTTAAGTTTGTATTCTTGGAAATATGAGCAATGTTTTTGATTTAAAGATGCGAAAGTACAGAAAGAGAAACAAGAGGTAATGAAATAAGTACAGCAGATTAAATAAACTTTAGGAAAAAGGCTAAACACCACAATTATAAACAAATGATTTGTTTAT